TCCGGATTTGCCCCTGTAATTTGTGACGCTTGTAATGTCCTTCTGTCACCTGCAAATTTGTGACATACCCCAGCGCTTGCACCTTGTTATCTCACATGGCCATAAGTACCCGGGCATGTGACACAGTTGAACCGGCAGGGACAGGGGCACAGGGAAAATATGTCAGACCTAGGCGATATAATGTAATAGATATTCTGCCAATTAAAAACATGTGTCAGAAGGTCTTGCAGCTTCTTTTTTTTCTTTTTTTTTTTGTTTGGGGGGGATGGGAATGGGTTACAGGAGCGGCAAACAAATTATAAGGGCCAAAACACAAATTTGCCTTTGTTTTTTGGGGCTCCTCGTGCAACCTGCACTAGTTCTCTCTCCCTGGATAGATTAGGGCTCTGGAGTATCCTAGGCTCTGGTGGAGGCTGCTGTTGAATGAATGTGGACTGGTTCTGGCTGGGCAAGCCTGCATAGCCACAGAACACAGCTAAACCACCAGTACACGCGGCCCTGGCGGTGGCGCACTACCCTGCAAGGTTTGCCGAACCACCAGCCATTGTGGTCGGTGACCCCGAGCCTCCCAAATTTTTGTAGGCGAGGAAATTAAATCTTCACAAGGCTGGGCCCATGGACTGGTGGTCTAATGAATGAACTGTCTCTTTGTGATGGGAGGAGTGGGTGATGGGAGGAGCGGGTGATGGGAGGAGCGGGTGGTGGGAAGAGTGGGTGATGAGAGGAGTGGGTGATCCGAGGAGTGGTTGATGGAAGGAATGAGTGATGGGAGGACTGAGTGATGGGTGTGACTGGAGATGTACCAGTAGTGCACTGGCTAGTACGCTCGACCAGCCTGGACTCTGGTTCAGTACTGCACTGGACTGGACCAATGGCTTGGTGCTGGGCAGGTGATGGGAGGAGTGGGTGAATGAACATGGAGGGAATGGATATAGACCAAAGTGTGACTGGAGATTTACCAGTAGTGTGTTGCGTACTACTCTGGACTGGCCTCGATTATATGCTTCTGTACTGCGGTGGACCAGAGCAACGGGTTGGTGCTGGGTAGTGTACCACACTCCGCTCGCTGCTCAGGTGCTGTGCTAAACTAGACTGGTTTATCTCCA